AAGTTACATTGAAGTTTGACAATGTATTCCATTATAACATTTTGTGTAATAAATATTAAGGTATTTAATATCATGATTTATGTAATTTACCTGCACTGTCACTGAATGAACACTTCATACATTCTCAAACATTTATTCAGTAGTCAAAAAAAAAAAATGTGTTCGACCATGATACAGATTCATGTCAGTTAGAAGGTTGAAAATATGTTTAAGAACTGATGATAAGAGGGACTGTAGATAATCTGAGGTTTGTTAAAAGCTAATAGAACTTAGGATTAAAGTGGAGTAAATAGGTGGTAGAACAAAGAAAAAATAATTAAGTATGGCCAGCTAAGTAAAGACCAGTTTCAAGAAAGAGGCACAATTCAAACTTATGAACAAACAAAAAGAAAAGATGACAAAAGATCATTTAGTTCTTTCAGTTTAGTCTTAACTTCTCAACCAACCACAGTTATTATCATTTCAAGAAGTTAAACTTCCCTTGAGAAGGATATTTTCTTGTATTTTTGTTGTTTAAAATGCAAATGGTGTAACTATACAAAGCTGGAAATAGTGCCTACATTTATTTTCTCAAGCTACAAACCCCTATTTTGACTCCACTGGAATTGATAAGTACTGTAAACATTGAGTCAAAATAGGGATTTGTAGCTTGAGAAAAGTATGTACAGACTATTTCCAGCCTAGTTTGTTTACATTTTTTTAGAGTCCCTAGTTATATGCTTGAAAATTTAATCTTTGCATTTTGTTTAAACTTGTTTCTGTAATTTTTTGATGATCCTTATTCCCCCTTTTTAAATTTACAATTTTTACTAATCTTGTTTCTTAAGTTCTTTTATGTACATTTATGGAGAATAAATTTGAAGCTATATATGTGCATATGCATTCAATTGAATGTTACATGTTTTTCAACAGTTTACTGCTGCATTTGCTTTTTTTCCATCCAACCATCACACTGAACTTATTCAAAATAAATAAATCTACAACAAAGAATAAACACATGTACTGGTATGAAACTACAAAAAACAAAATATGAAGTTAAATAAAATTCCAAAGACGCATCTTTTGAATGGATTGTTTATTTTATTTAGATTTTATTACAACATTTTGATCACTCATGTGGCCATCATCAGGTAACTGTTTCTATTTTGACTATTTCACAACATAGAGACAGTTACCTGGTGATGGCTACACAAGTGGTCAAAAGATCATAAGAAAAGTTAAATAAAAATAAACAATTTACTCGAAAACTCTATTTTTAGACTGTTATTTAAAGTTTATGGTGGATTTTTTCTCCTCATAACAAAATGTAAAGTTGTTCTCAAATGACACTCTTGAAAACAAAGATTGTATTATCACAGATTTGATGACCAGCTTCCATCAGTGTCACAGTGTAATGTAACAAAAGACAAGCAGCAACAAAGTAATCTCATCAGAATGGAATAACGTTTCTTCTAAGATAATACAACACAGATTAATGTAATTTAAGCAGACTCAGTAACATGCTTACCTTATTAAGTCTACATGACACATATGTATGTTCTTCAACAGCCTGCTATGCATAAGTGTTTGCTAGAATAAAGTGACACAAATAATGCATGCAAACTAGAATACAGCGACACACTTAGGGTAAGTTGCCAATTATCGACAACATTTACAACTGCTACCATAACACTAACTATTTGAAAATAACAATAGTTATATGAAATAGTGCTATATGCAGTGGTGATAAATACTGAATACACACTCATGATTTCAGCTAAATATAAGAAACAGTAGAAAGGATTACCACTATCATTTGAGTATGGAAATCTACTATGGTAATCGTCCATTGTTAAAAACTTACTGAAATATAGTAGTGGAAATCCACCTAGACAGCAAACTTGAGTAACAATGAACAATAGTGACTTGAGTAACAATATTCAACAGCAATTTGGGGAACTTTCACATGGCAGTTTCCAATTAAAGCTCTAGAAAATGCATGAGTTGTAGCCAACTAATGCACATACTAGGAAAATGCCAGATTTTTTGATGTCAGAAAATGAAAAACTTAGAAACTTTCACAGCACAACAAAATTAAGGAGGTTGAATTAAGTTTAAAACTACTCTCTCAGTTTTTTTACAAAATTCCTGTGTGATCTCACACTACAGTAGATATTACTTGCAATAATTTTATAGTGGAGTCATAATAGGGATTTGTAGCTTGAGAAAACTGTCAGCAAGCAGATCTCCAGCCTTGTTTGATTACTTTTTTTTATGACACCTATTTGTAGATTTGACATAATCTTGTATGTTGGCTTTTTCAATGCATGACAATAGGCAACTACATGCCTAGAGTAAGAAACAACCCCCACTAAGCATGTATAAAATTTTACCAGTAGAAAAGCAATCTTTTCAAATAAAACAAATATGTCTAAAACATCACTTTAAATAAAGCTTTGTGTTTTTAAAGTAATTATTTACTGAGCCAGGTGGCATTGTGCCTGAGGTAAACACGCGTCAAGTACAAATGCAGTCACTTGGAACAACATTGCATGTACTATGTATTTATAACCACAAATCAAATTTCAATGAAAAATAATCAACTTTAAAATAGGTCATGGACATTTACAGTGTTTCATGTAGTATACTGGTCTGTTGTGGTTTATGATAAATAATGACTCTTTAACACAATTTTTAAAAAAAGGTATCTTGTTTACCAATACAGTTTTTTTTTTCTGAATATGATTATAAATAATTATTACTTAATTTTCATTAGAAAATTTTAAATATTTCTTTTTTAACGGTTCATATTTTCATATCAATCACATTGCAAGATATGAATATATAAGCTTTGAAATTGCTGGATTACAACACTATAAGTTACTCATTTACACAATATATTAGCATTAATTTAAGTTTGTTTGACTTACTTAAGTTATGTTATTGTCAACATTGATTAATTCAGAATACTATATTACTGTAGAGGAACTGTTTTCTTTCATGTAAAAAATATTGAAAGGCTCGCATATCTGATCTTTGCCCTCCTTTAAAACTTTGGGTAAAACTGTGTCTTGTCTTGGTGCATTATTTACTTTAAAAACCATTGGCACACGCCAACTGAAGTGATTAAATAATCAAAAACTTATTCCATGACTCACATTCTTCAGTACTCAGTACTTGAAGCTTACCTATGTAATGGACACAGCAACATCGAGAGCCAGCATGGGCCCCGGGGCAAACATCTTCACCGGGCCTCCTTTCTCTCTCTCTTTTTTAATATTTTCAAGAATTTATTTAAAAGAAGATCCTAAATTATGACAGCAATGAGCTCATAAACCAGACAAAATCATAGCAGCAGCTTTTTTTACTTCACATTATAAGCGTAAAAATGTTAATAAAGTAATAAATACATATTAATTGTTACTCAAATTATTATTTCAGTCGTTCTTAATGTATCAAGTGTTTATATGCAAAGAAAAGCCAAAAACTATGGTTTTTATCATTAAATAAAGATATAGCCTAAAGATGCTTTGCAGGCTTTATGGCATTACCAGGTTTCATTTGCCCTAAAAACTAAAGGGATTATTTGAAAACATATTCCACAATGCTTCAAGTGAACAATACCTTCCTCAGATTGTTGCCCGTGGCTTTAATCTCTCAGTCTTTTTACTTATCACCAGGTGATCAATGTCTGCATCGTTCAGGTCAGTTCCAATATTTCTGATAGAATGCTCAAGGTCAGGAATATTGCTAGTATCTTACCTTGTAAATACAGAAGATAACGTTTGATAGCTTAGCTGTATCATTGTCTTCAACAATAGTCTTATCATCAGTATCCTTTAAAAGTCCAACCCCATTCTAACATTCTGATCATCTTTAACATACTTTAAAAAAATCCTTGTTAGTTTTAGCATTATTAGCCAGTTGTTTCTCGTAAACCCCTTCTGGATTTCCTAATTTTATTGTTTAATCAAATATCTAGCTTTCCTGCATATCTGTAAGTCTTCCAGACTATATGTAAATTTAACTTTTCAAACTTACGCCATTCATCCCTGATTTTCCCTATTATCCTTTTCCCCTTTTCTAGGAACTGCCTATCTTGAATTAAAAGTAATTTATTTTTGAAAATTTCACAGATCTCCCATATCACATTTTAACTCCCTATCCAAAATCACTATAAATAAATCTTAAGTCTCAAAATTGGCTTTGATTCCACAACTTGGGTAACAGTATTGTAAAGAAAAAATTGTTTTTTGGTTATTGATAGGCTCTTAAATTGTTTAAACAGAAGTCACGTGACAGACAATAAAGGTAAAGGGAGCATCCTTTGTAAAGAACTATGTTAGTTTTTGTGTTTTTATTAATAATACCTCCTTAATTTTTCTTTTGTGGACATGTTCTTTATCTGATATCTTTATGTTTCTGAAAACAAACATATATTCTGTTCTCTTTCTCCAAATGAGAGACTGTCTGATATCAGTTATCTAAATATATAGTCAATTTAGAATAATAATATTGCTTTTAGACTGGGATGCAAAATATCCACAAGGTTGTATAAGTAAGGTGAAATTGACATGAGGGTTAAGGATGTTACGACACTAAATAATGACTTGAAACAATTAGTAAGTTGGACAAATATTTGGCCGCTAATCTTGACTTCTAATTACATGTTTAATATATATATTGGAACTAACACATTAGTCTGACTGAATAAGAAAGGTCTTTTCCGTAGTGTTGGATGTGTCACTCAACCATCGAGGAATTACCTTGCTGCTAGTAGTAAAACAAGTAAAATTTTAGTATATATATATAAC